ATCCCAGTTGGGCACTTTTCCCCAGTATCTCGCCTCTGTGCACACAATGCGTAAGGACTTTGTGGCACTGGACTGGAGTGCGTCGCGATTTTAATTGTATAATTATACGAGTGCCATGGCATAGTAAGACGGATGTTTGCTCAACAGTTCAGCTGCTTACCTGTTCCTTCTGCTATATGGTGTTCCCTGTCCAGTGTTCTCTCCTAATCTCTAGTAGCGGCTTGAGCTAACCCGCTCGACAGGCTCATAGATTTTGTGGCTGATTAAGATGTTCTTGGAGGATTTCGTTGTCTGTATTTTTGCGAAATCCTTGTGTTAAGCCCTTTTTTTTGTTCCCTATTTCCAAATACAAATAATATAGTGTAAGATGTTATTTTATATTTTTGTAAAATGGAAAATGTGTAGTAGCCTTCCTACTTTTAGGTTGAGAATGAACACTAAGACTGTGCTGGCTGGCATCGGAATTTGTCAAAGCCTGCTTCATCTCGGTTTAAAATATATCCATATGACAGCACGCTGGCAGAAGCAAACTTATAAACTCATAGCAATAGTTTGACGCTTGATTGGCCATATTTTATGCATGTATTCACATGCCTTTGGGGCATTGCAATACCCTGTAGTTGATTGAAAATATGTAAAAGTCGGGGTATTGTGATTTGTGAGTGCCGGTTATAGAAAATATGATGACTGAGAATACTCTTGGCTTCTTTATTTTCTAAAATCGATATTTATCGATTTTATTATTAGAGTATTATGGAGAATTAACAGCTGCAATATATGTATATGTTATTTATCGACTTTTTGTTTTCTCATATTTTTATATATTATTTGTATGTATTTGATCACCTATGTATTTGGCTTCATGCACATCTTGAGAATGGGGTTGATAATAGATACAAGAAGTTAATAACTAAAAGCGCTTGCGTTTTCCTTTTCTAAGATCGATGTATATTGATTCATTTATTGATTTTATATGCTCGTCCTACAAAATTATAAATAAAATTGAAATGAACTCGGATATAATATATATGTAGAAATATAATACTTAACATTTAAGAAAAATCAATATATAAGAATTAAAATATATTACGATCAATATGTTATCGATAGTTTAATATATGTACATGTAAATGTAGGGTACCCTATTTCCTATCAGCTAAGTCAATAGCATTTTTTACACGTTTCTCTTTGCCTTTGGCTCTGCTTGTGTGTTCTATCTGTGTCTCTTTCTGTATGTAGCACTTATCACACTTATCTTCCGCTGAGTGCCCTGATTCGTCTCCCGCTGCTGAATGACATTCCTGGCATATGTCAGTGACAGCGCTGGAAAGAAATGCAAAGCGCAAATTGGTATGGAGATAAATGCGACTATGACTATGACTATGGCTATGGTTATGGGCTGTGGTCCAAAGAGGGGAGGTGGGAGGGTGCTTCTTGTACCTCGGCTAGTAACTGTCATGCAAGTTTTATTATGTAAATATTGGCGAACAAATCCAGTTGGCCCTTTACACTGATTGCCTTGACCAGGATTTGCTCTTGTAATTGAAGCTTTGTGTTGCTTAGTTATGTCACAGATATACAGCGAGAACCCCAAACTAATAGCGCAGAGCATAAGTGTGGAATTTAAAAGCTCTACTCTGTTGGCATCGACGTGCACAGACTGCAAAAATCATACTACAATATTATACTTTGGTTTAGCTGGGTTGTTGTTTCGAAATGGAGCCGAGTACAGCCTGAGCGCATTTAGGACAAACAATGATAAAGCGCATATTAAAACTATGTAACTATGCTCATCAATCATTTACGATGTGACGGCATAAATTTACCAATATGCGTATACACCTGAGTGCTACTATATCATGTATGTAATTTAGTGCTTGACCCAGGGCCTCGGGCCCTGTGTTGAAACTGTTATGTTTAGATATGAAAACGTTAAAGTTATGGCTTTAAGACTGAATGACAATTTCTCTGCATAAAAAGGCAATTATGTAGTTGGTATAACAGTTAATACCATTAATTATGAGTAAGTATATGAAATAATTAGCCATAAGTACTTACTAATAGTATGAGATTTGCATGCAGTTAAACTGTTTGTTTAGGAAATTTTTCTTTGAATATAATTAATATACATACTTTTTTGATATTTTGTTCCCCACTAAATCAAAAATCGCGCATATCGAAAAAGAAAAATTCTATACCCTTGAAAAAGTTTGTTCTTGATAACTCTTGATAATTTAAATTTCTCTGTAATTCGAAAAAAAAAACCTGATCCCCTTGAGATTTACAATTATCGAGACTCGACTGTAACTGTCAAATTGTATATATGTACATATCTATATCTGTGTATATCTATCTATAGCTGTCTAATTAATAAAATGATAACAGTTTAACTATCGAACTTTAGAATTATTTTGAAAACTAAAACGAAATCACGATTTCTTTTTTATTAGGTATGTCCCAAAATACACTTATTTATGAATTTATTGATTAATCATTAGAGCAAATGAGTTCATTTCTGAGTTTAAGCCAATTCTCCAACAAATTTATATCTACTATATATTTTTAATTCCCCGCCATATTACGGATTTTGTGGCATTGCCTAAAATATATCTATTAAATAAAAAAGAAACTATAATTTTTTATTTCGGCTAGTTTACCTGAGTAACAGGCAGACTATTTCAAGTAGTCCAAATGGGTACAGCCTGCCACTCATATACATTTATATGAGTAGTTGAACGTTTTCATTAAATTTAATGCAGATTTTTATGGTCTATAAAAACTAAGTGCCTTAGTGAAATGATTTCATTTATACACAAAAACTGCAGGTTGTTTGCCTCATTCTTGACTCTAAACAGATTAGTACTCTCACTGCCAACTATTTAAAACTACCTGGGTTGTATTAGAAATCAACTAAATGAGTCAAGTCGTGCTTTTCCTGCCCACTCACAGTTTGCCAACTCTGCAATTAGTTGAGCAGCTGCAGCCAGACAAGCTGTAAACTCGCTCAAACAACAGCCAATGGAGTAACATATTTCCAGGTACTACTGTGCCCAGTGGCAGAGTCTGTTGGTTATCAGTCTATTTCTGCTTCTGTGATTTTGTTACGTAATCCGTGCATTATAGCAGCCTGCACTTAATGTGCTACAGACTTTTTATGATAGCGTCAAGCTTGGTAAACTGTTATTACCTCAGCTCGGGGCATAGTTCAAATTAGCGTTCATTAATTAGTTGCCCTGCAGATTGACGTTTAAAGTAATGCGACATGTCCCAGGGGCAATTAGTTTCCTCTACACCCCCTCCCCTCGCCCCAACCAACTACAACTAAGGCACTGCAGACTGTCGTGGTGTCAGCCAACAGAGGGTGTAGCCGAGTCATTACAGTTTTGCTTTAGATAATTATCGCAGCTTTTGGTGCTCAAGTGTCAAAGTTTTTCGACTGGAGTCTTCGAGTCGAGCCTCTCCATTAAATTACGAAATACTATCTTCATCGCTCTCTTTCTTTCTCTCGCTCTCTCTATCTCTCTGTGTGATAGATCATTTGCAGCATCATTACGCATACACCGTGCTTGTGTGTGTGTGTGTGTGTGTGTGTGTGTCGTTGGCTAATCCTTTGCCTGCCTTACGGCACCTACAGATTTTTCTATGCTGTCACGTTCCACAAATCGCAATAGCATTTTGCTTGCTAGCACGCACTCATAGCCCACATATATCACTGGCTGTTTCTGTCGCCGTTGCCGTCGCCGTCGCCGTCGCCGTCGCCATCACCCCGTTCAGCCCGCAGATATGAGCACATTAAATGTGGGCCACCGCGAAGCGGATGAAGCGTTGCTCCGGTTGCTGCCATTGCCGCCGGCAAATCAGTGTGTCCTTGCCTTGCCTTGCCGTTTGGCATGCTGGCGTTTTATTTCACTTGCTTTTAGCAGCGCATGCCCCCTCCCACTCCCCCTTCCCTTTCGTTGACTGGCTGCTACTGCTGCTGCTGCTGCTGTATGGTCGGCGGAGCGTGTTGCGGTCCGTCTCTGTCGCCGCTTCATAGTGGGCACTATAATTCTATTATGGCTGTAAAGCAATTTTATTTCTGGCTGTTTGTTGGCCCGCGCCTCGTTTAGCTTTCATTTTCACATCTGCGCTGCCATTTTCATTTTCATTTCGCATTTTTACGCTTTGTGCCCGCCTCTGCCCAGCGCCGCGCTTTGCACCCTCACCCACACCAGACACAGACCCAAACCAGCCCATCCCGGCCCATTCTAGACCATCCCAACCCATCCCTCACCATTAACCAGCGTAGCTGTCATCATCAAATTACGCTCAGCTTTTGTCTCGCAGTTTTGTTTTAATGCCAAAGCACAAAAGCATCTACTGCTTGGCTTCTGCATTTGCTTAGGATGCCCTTGTTGTTCTTGTTGTTATTGTTGCTGTAATACCCTGTTTGCTTTAAAAGTTTGTGCAAAACTGCGAGAACTTAAACTTGTGCAAAATTATTTAATGGATTTTTAATTTAAGTCAGGTTGAAGTTCAAGTTTGATTATATATTTTTATTTGAGAAGAAAATAACTTCAAACTTCTGTAAGCCAGTATTGACGATTCAGTCTTAGTCTACATTACATTGGTTAATTAACTTAAATCGATTTAATAATCTTTCACAACTTACATGTTGAAATTATCGAACAAATTGAATAGATTTATTAGTTAACTTCTTTCTTTTGCTTTAATAGCTTTGGTTCCCATTGCAGGGCATTTTCTAGTCTAGCAGGCATTTAGTTCGCATCGTTATCATTTTGTTAGCATGCAAATTAAATGCGCCCAACCCTTTTAGTTATCTGTTTGTAACTATCTCGCGCTGATAGCGTTGTCTCTGATCTCTTCGTTTCACACTTTTGCAAGCGTGCTCTTTCCTGTGCTCTCTCTCTCTCTCTCTCTCTCTCACTATTACTCACTCTCTTTGGAAATCACACATACGCCGCGTCGATCGGCTTATAAATTGGGAAGTCAACAGCCGGCAGTCGTCGACGGAACGCGTGCGAAAGCGAATCAAAGCGGGTAGCTAACTACACTCGTGCATGGCTGCCTGAATGGGACAATTAGCAGTTAATTGGCATTCGATATTGAGCGACTGGACGGAGAGCAGCTGATATGACCGAGATAATGGATGATGCGGAGCAAGATGCGATCGTTAATAGATTGAACAATGAGCTGCACATGCTCAGGGAACAGCTGCGAGAACGAGACTGCGAATTGGTCAAGCTGCATCGTGAAATACACAAGCTGAAGGTGAGAGAGGGTAGCCGAGGAATTCTAAAGGGAGTGAAAGACAGAGAGACAGATATAATGTAAATTGGTCATAAAGGGAATATTTGTGATTCTAAAATAATATTGACAGAGTGTGTGAGCGAAATAGGTATACGTAGATAGAAAGAGAGAGAGAGAGAGATAAGAGAGAAGAGAAAAGAGAGTGATAGAGATGAAAAATAGTATAGGAATAGCGAAGTAGGTCAGTAAAGGAAATGCTCACAATTTTTAATGGGACTTTTAAAAAATATTGACCGGGGATATGATTACAGATATTCTATAATCTTGGGTAAATTTTCCTAAGGGACGTTCCTAGGGAATTACATAAAATTACGACAAGTTCAAGCGATCGGAGGAAAGCAAAGGCGGGCCACTAAATTTTAGATTAGGAAAATATATATAATCTGAAAAAAAAAACAAGCTTACCAATGTCTAGACATATCTTATGTTAATAATAATAATAAAAAGTCTGAGTTTTAGATTATAGCTTCCATTAAACTATCGGGAAATTGCAAGCTAAAAGTAAAATATTCATAACATGAAAGAGTATTCGCTTACTTTAGACAGCATGCAAAATATATCATTTAAATTTGAGACTGTGACAATAATCTTAGCTTTGTTCAGTTCTTTGCCAACTTGAGGAAAAACAAATCAATTCCATTTAATTATCGGAAAATTGCATCAGGCTGCATTCACGAGCTGAAAGCGAATAGAAGATGAAAATATACAACAACATACAGAAAAGTACTAGAAACCTACTTGAGCCTAGGTCACCAGGGTGAATGCCAGCGAGCCAAAGGGGCAGATGTCCCTTGTCATTGTGCATCGTTTGTTTGTTTTGTTTGCTGTTTGTTTTGTTTGGTTTATTGTTGTCGCGCCGCAGATAACGGCACAATAACACCAGCAGCAACAATTGGCCAAGCAACGTATTGTGCTGTCATTTTTTTTCCCCATCTTTTGCTTCTATTTCTATTTTGTATTTTCAACTAATTCGCACAGATACAGAAAAAAGTATCTGAAAAACACTCACACACATACACACGCACACAGCTCGTATCAATTGCGTCGCATGTCGGTTTCTCAAGCACAGCAGCAGCAGCAGCAGCCACAGCCGCAGCTAAGCACCAGATATCAGACACTATCTGATAGAGAACAGACAATATTAGATATTGTGCATGTAGATACCGGTAGCCAGCCCTATGCCCTTGTAGCAGTCCGGTGATAACTGGTCTAGCGGTTTTGCGGCTGTCATTCAGCTGTGCTCGACGTAAGAGAGTAGAATTTTGTGGGCGGAATATCTAGAGTCTTGAAGTAGAGATTGCCGAATAGATAATTATGCTCAATTGGTGTTAACAGCTCAGTAGATATGACCATGAAGGGCAGTCTGCCGCATAGTGCGAAAGCTATGAAAATGAATAATCTTCAATTCACAGCTAAATATTCATTCAGACTACAATATCATAAAAGGCTACACAATGCTATAAATAGACCCTACATTTAATGGCTCTTTAAATATTTGAACAATTTGTTGTTATTGCTTCGAAAAGAGTATTGCGACTTCGGTATTACGCATACACCGTTTTTTTTTCTTGTTAATTTCGTTCATGAACTGCCACTGCGTGTGTGTGTGTGCGTGTGTATTTGAATTGTAAAGCATTTTTATTGAGCTAAGCGTTTAGCACTTCTTCGTGAGATTTTCATAGAGCGGCAGCGTAAAGAGCTAAGCTTGCCAGAGAGTCCACGCTCAGCTACAGATACAGATACAGATAAAGATACAGATACAAAGCTGGCAATGAAGATACAGATACTCAGGGACTTGCTACTGTGTGTTGCTAATTGCCGGATCAGCAACGGCATTAGCTTTGTCTGCGCTCGCGAGCGCTGCTCTAGCTGGACGTCGCGTCGTGCGCTTACCGCCCCTCAACCCCTGTTAATCCCGCCAACATCTACAAGCTCTAAGCGATTTGTGTGCATGTTTGTGTTTGGTGTAAATAAACACCATGGCATATTCCATAAATTCAACGGGCGACAGCACGCGTCGCGCTCCCGAAGAGAACAAAGCAAATGCCACAAAAAACAAAATAGTTCAAATGCATTGAACTAGAGATGTAGACTAGAAGATACTCTAGAATTATAAATAGAGTTGTATAAAAGAAGTAAAAGCGTATAAAATAACTATTTGAAAATGAAGCGAAATGCTAACCCTCAAAAAAGTTCTAGGGTTTCTAAGAATATATTTTATTCAAATATTTTATCATGGTAAATAACTTAAATATTATGAATGGTTTCTCGTTTATTATTATTTGTTATTTTTTTTTCTGACAGATTTTTATTGTTCTGTAGCGTGTAAAGCTAAAAATTTGATTATAATAAACAAGTTGTAAGGATCCATACTTTGTATTGTGAATTTAAAAAAAAATATATTTTTGTTGATGTAGTGTTTAAAATTTTATGATTTTATTTTGTAGCGTATATCTATATATATATTTCTTTTAATTTTTAATTTTTATTTATTTATTTATCTATTTTTTTTTACTCAATAATTTTATAGTTTTAGCAACCATTTAACCCAATAATGTATAGGG